AATTACTTACAAGTATTCAGTTTAATCAGAATAAAGATAGTCTGAATCATTTTTTTGGTTAGCGTTTTTTGCAGCGAGTTAGTTTTCTGCGGAATGGGGTCGCTAAATCAATGCCCAATGACACTCCTTTATCTGGGCTTGGGACCGGCAGTAGCACCAGAGGGGCTCCACGTGGAGTTAGAATTTTCACTCGTTTGGATTAACTTGAATGATCAATAATTTCAAGCTATACTGGATAAATCAAATGAACAGAATAAGTTTCAATTGATTGTCAAATTACCCTGGTTGGGGTCTGCGAGACAATAGTAACCGATGGTTAGAGACTGAATAGCATGGCTCAAAATCGAGTGCGATGGCGCAGATGCATCCATTATTTGTGTTCCCTCAAGTGGTAATCTTCTGAATTCCTCATCACCTCTATCTTTCGCTTCTTAAATTTACTTCACTGGGTTACGCTTCACAAATTATGGATCCCTAATCTTTTCGACTACCGCCAATACATCTAATAAGTCTACTACTATGAGATTTGAATTGACAATTCGATCTCTGTGTACTAATCCGGTTTGGCGACTTGAACTGATGTACGTACGTATGGCATTCGTCGTTGTACATGACTGACTTAATTAATTGTAGAAAGTGTGATCGTATATAAAATAAATCAGTATCGATTTTTGAAATAAATTATTTGACTAGAATTTAAAGTAATGTAAAGTAAGTTTGAATGTAATCAACTATCTCGGGCTATACTTTTTATGATGGTGCAGTAATACGCAAAAAGTAACAGAGGTAGTAATTTTATTGGAAGTGAGTAGCTACATGTTTATGGGTATGAAAATGAATAACGATAAGAACTTGATATACAAAATATCGAGCAGCGGTGTCACAGAAGTGTGAAGTTATAACACAACAATTTATGGAAAACAATCATGTTTCAGAGATGCAATTTTCAATACAAATCCCATAGCAATAGAGGTAGTAGAAGTATTAGAGGGAATGGAGTAGATTAGGAATCAAAGAAATCATTCAAGAAGTAAAATCCAGTGAAAGCGCCATTGCAAGCGGTTTTGAGCCATGTCACTCAGGGTATCTAACTATAGATTACTATCATCTCGCGGGTCAGTGACTTCATGGATTTGTGCCATGTTTTTGGTCTGGCCGCCCCTGGTTTTCTTTCAACCTACTCCTACACTACAAAACATGGCCCGACGAGGAAGTCGGTGGTTAGGTACAAGCAACATATGTCAGAACCACCTCAAATGATGTAGTTCCACCACTTCATCTGTTGACTTGTCATCTCCACCTAGCACTTGTTTCCTAACAACAGCATTGTTTACTCGGTTGTCCCAGGATACACGAGCTATGTTTCGGAGACACCAATGATCGAAAACCAGTAACGTTCGAATATTTTCTACTCTTATCAGCCATGTTTCGCATCCATATAGTGGGACAGAGCGAACTGCTTCGCAGCACACTCGTCCTTTGGTTAGCAAACGGATATCTCGCCTACGCCATAAGTGACGCAAGTTGGCAAAAGCCAATCGAGCCTTCTGTATCCGAGCTGAGATTTCGTCAGTCACCAGGCCATCAGCACTGATGAGACTCCCACGATAAGTTAAGCGGTCGATATACTCAAATGCTTCACTCCCTATCACTAGTTCAGATACCGATGCGACCCAATCTTGAAGCAACATTTTGCATTTCGAGGGGGAAAACCGCATCCCGAACATGCTCGCATTGTTGCTTATGGTAGTCAGAAGACTCTGCATTTTGCTAGCGTCTTCACCGAATAGAACTGTGTCATCGGCATATTCTAGGTCAGTAAGCGATTAGAAGGTCAACTGTTAGAAGGTCAACCCCTGAAAAATCTGACGAGCTTAATGTTAACTTTAAGAGGATGTCTACGACAAAATTAAACAAGAACGGGGAAAGTGGACAGCCCTGACGGAAACCACTTGATGTAGAGTATTAGAATGAAAGTTTGCCTAAGCTCTCACTCGACCAGTGGTGTTCGAGTAGAGAGCTTGTATAAGGTTAATGTACTTCTTTGGTACGCCTTTTAATGACAGACACTGCAACAGAACCTCACGATCGACAGCGTCGAATGCCGCCTTACGGACAAGGGGTACAACTATAGTGGGATGCCGAAATGTGTGTCTGTGTTCTAGAACTTGACGGAGAGTGAGTATGTTGTCTATACAGCTACGACCAGGTCTGAAACCGACCCGGTTTTCTCGAGTTTGCTCTTTACGAGCCCTAGTTAGTCGTCTAAGTATTATCTAAGCTAACATTTTAGACACTATATTAGTTAGACTGATTCCTCTTATGGGAAAATCAGTGATTGATTGATTTCGAGCAGTCAGCTTTATCAGTATCTCGACAAGTGTATCTAAATGCAGTAAATCAAGACTGTTTGTTCTATTTTTATATCCATATGACGGAGACTGCAGTAATCGACGAACTTTCAACATTATACGAAAGTTGAAAGCTTTTCTTTACTGATCTGTCATGTCGCGAAGTTGACATAGGTCTCAGACGTCGTAACCGGATTAGACGGTGTAATGGGGTCACCATTCCACATAGAAAATAAACCCAATTTTCCAAAAGTTATTTTGGAACCTGGATGAGAGGGCTAAAAGAAGCGGAGGCAAAGCTATATAGTTTCATAAGTTGTACTGTGGAGCGTCTTGCAGATCTGTTGTGGATGATCTGCAAACGAACGATACCATAGAAGAGTGGAACAGAGGCTTCAACCAACCAATTGTAGCCTCTCGTTCAGACATAGAAATTCACTCTAAAAAGAAAGTCTAAATAAATTGAAAATAGAGTAGTTTGTTGCAAGGATTAAGCGACATCACATAAAAAGGAGGTACGATAAATTAGCACTGAGCAATAGATAGGTTGTAGAATAATACAAAAATAGATGGATTCCAGATTACTTACGCGGAATAACAAACGATTTGGATTTCAACATTTAAAGTTAAAAATGTCAGATTTACATTTATATTAAGTCAATAAATGGCCCTTTTGATATTCAAACACAATATACAATCAACCAATCAATAGCAACGTAGAACCTCGTACATACGTACAACATTTCAAGTTGCCATATCACATAAGCACAGATGTAATTGTCAATTCAAATCCCATAGTAGTAGAGGTAGTAAAAGTATTAGAAGTAATCGGAGAGATTAGAATTAGATACCATTCAAGAAGTAGAATCTAGTGAAATAAACTTAAAAAGATAAAGTGATGAGTAATTAGAGAGTTTAGGATTTGATAGAACACAAAGTATGAATGCACCTGCGCCATTGCAAACGGTTTTGAGCGATGTCATTCAGGGTCTTTAACCATCGATTACAATAAACTCGAGGACCCCAAGCAGGTAGTCAACACCTACCGACATGACTCAGTTCACTTGTCAGCGACTTCATGGATTCCTGTTAACATAAACCACATTTAGTCGGTTAATATATTAGTGGCATTATTATTGTATAACAGGAGTAAATCGCCCCCTCGATTAATACTTTTATTGATATAATATGTCCTAATTGGAGAATATCGCAAGAAATATTATATAATTTCCAATTTGTTTGAACTTTTAAACTTATTTACTAACTAATCAGAAAATAAAAATGAAGAGCATAAACTAAGGCATTACCACTTTGATTACAAAAATAACTGATGAGTTAGAGTGAAAGATAGGTACATTTCAACAACGATCGATTTACGAATTTCTGCTTGTGATCAAGAGTTGCTTCTCATTTTATTATTACTATATACTAGCATTTAAATATTTAGGCGCCACATAAACCAATGAATTTGTGGTCAGGGGGGAATACCCGAACCAAAGTCGACGGTTTCCTTAAAGGGCTCACTCACCTGTCGTAGATCTAATCCACGAGGCAGTGGAGAAACATTAGGAGATTCAGTACCGTGGTACTCGAATGGTTTGAATCACTTTTTCTGTTAAGCAAGTTTTTTCTACAAGATGGGGTTTCTAATCCCATGCTCCAACCATGCTACTCTGTATGGGTTTGGGACTGGCAGCAACCCTAGGACGATTCCAGAGGAAGTTATCCCTATGGTAGCTGGTGACCGGGAATATGACTGTATGTCGTTAGTCCTTTCAGGATCTTGAAGCGCATGTTATCAGTTTGGAACCAGAGTATTCCAATTACCTTGGATAGAATCCCCAGTACCGACCGATCCGGTTCAAGTCTTCGTCAACTTCAAAAACAACACCCCTTCCACAAGAAGGCTACGTGTAGGAATTATCTGGAAGTGGCTTTATACGTGTGGCCATATTTGGACATCTCCAGAGAGAGGGCGAAGCCTCTCCACTCTTGGCGTAGCAGGGCATTTTTCAAGTGTTGCCAAGTGTTATAAAGAAAACTTTTTCGTAAAATATGGAGATAACCGAGGTGGCTTAATAAACAATCTACTTTCATCCCTTATTAATTTATTTAGGCCTCTTATCCCTCATGGGACATAGGCCGCCAACTAAGATCCTTCAACCACCTGTCCTCGGCACTTCTTTCCGGCTGTTGTTATGTGCTATTTTTTTGTTGTGTCTCCAATTCCCAGCGCAATGTATTGGTCTTTTCCTTTGGTCTTGAGAGCTACACGTGACGGCTTGTATGGTCACGCAGTTTGCGGATTTCTGCAGTGTTGCATCTGTCTGGAGAGTTTTCTCCTAATTTCTTGCTTAGATATAAGCCGGCTTGTCCTCTGCCACAATAGATTGCGGCTGAGGGTGTCTGGTCAATAGATCCGAAGTATCTTGCGTAGACAATTGTTTAAAAATACCAATCCATGCATTCACATCTGCACCAGTTCCCCTTTGTTTATCAATGATGTTGCCCAGGTATTTAAAAGTTTCCACATCTATCAAGTGTGAAATCGTTGGTGCTCACTGTGTTCTATCTTAGTCGAGTTAATTATAAAAAGTAAGACCACTAACTGGCTAAGGTAATAATCTCTAAAAAAAATCGAAGTTTTCATCCATGTACATTTACTTATAATCAATCAACATAGTATAATTGAGACAGTGAGTTCACAAAACAATGATTTTACAATCCTATACATCACTATACATAAATATTGATTTTACTCCTACTACGATTTAGGATATTCAGAGTATGCTGATTACAACCATAATCTTTAATTATAGACGGAATTATTACAACTAGTGAAATACTTCCCCAAATATCCATATGCCTCAGCAAGAACAGTATACACTTCAGCATGAAAGTATATCAATCCAAATAGATTTGCAGACGAACATCGCCGATTCAACTCATCATAAACAAAGGTAATCGAATAAACAATGATATACAGTGAAAGCAGAACGAACTGACTTGGTACAACAATTGATTACAGTAGTGTATTTCAATGGAAATAATTATGTATGTGTGAATTATCGATAACGAAAACAAAAAGCGAATTATATATCATGGAATCTTTTTTTTTAAATTAATGTTTATTTCAAAAATACAGCAGAGATCAATAATAATGAATAGTGAAGTTAGGAAAAATCTATCAATAACTGATAATGTGAATAGAAACAAACTTCATCATTTTTTCTTGAGTTTTTCAAAGCGTTCTGCCAGAGCATCAAAATCTGCTTTTTCATTGTCCAAAGGGGGGTTACTGGGAGGGTTACTGGGTCCATTCACAGGTGGCATCAAAGCGAAACCACCTGGAGGAAGCATTGTGAAACCATCTTGAGGTGGTATAAATGAAGGACCAGGGTAATTAAACGGTACAACAGCATTTTGACCATTGCATACAGACATATCATATGGCGGTGGCATAACTGTATCGCCATTGGTTGCTAAAACAACAAATTGACACTGTACGATACATACATATAGGTAGGTAATCATGTAGAGGAGCATTAGCCACTAATTATTTTTGGAGCTTTACAGGCTAGTAGATAGAAATACAAAAAGCTAATATAGTTTATGCTAAATTTGAACGTTTCCAACAGATACCACATGACCTAGTAAAGAAAATAATTTATTTAACTTAGAACTCATAAATTGTGACAGAAGTACTACTGGTAGTATGTATGAGTGAAACAGAGTAAGCAATGCTGCATAGTAACTTAATATTACATTTGAAATTTATGAAAGTAACTAGTACACATGACACTACCAGTTGGACGAGCAATGTAACCTACGGAAATTAAATCTAGTCAGTGACTTAAAATGATGGCGAAGATGAATGACTGATACTCAACTGCTTAAATGAAATGTGTCAAGAGGATGAAGACAGATCAGTGAGGAAAGTCTTGGACGAACATTAATGTTTTAAAAATTGGACAACGAAGACTTCTATGAACAAGACGATATCAACATATAGTAGACATTAGTTCAAAAGTAAGAAACAAAACACAATATAAATCAAGATTTATCTCTCAAGTGAGCGGTATCCAGCTATATTATAATAAAGAATATTTGATAAATCATCGAGTACAGATTAGTTTGATCGGCTCTGTGACTCATCTTTCTATGAGGGATAGTAGTACTATGAGACTACTCCAGCCGAAACACACAAAGTAGGACTCGAACCCGTGAACTTGTAGTTAAACTTTAACCGTCAAGCCATGGATTCGTAACAAAAAGGGATAGAATCGGCAAATTATATCTTATCATCGAAATACAGACGGGCAGAAACTTAAAAAAGGCATTTGACCTTAATTTTCGATTGACAACAAGGCAAGCAATAAATGGAAGTGAACTACTGTGATAGATTTTGAGGCAAATCACTTAAAGTGGACAACAATGAATAAGCTGTAAGATATAAGTCAGTCGCAACGTAGAACTTCGTACGTGTGTACATAAGTTCATGTTGCCATACCATATTAGCACAGAGACGAGCTGTAAGATATAGGTAAAATAAACTTGTTCGAGGAGGAAATTATGTTTAGAATATAAAAAAGCTAATGTATCATGGATAAAATAATCTAAAAGGTTTAAAAATACTGACCGCAATTTAGGAAAGGTTAAATCAACAGGAAAATATACACTGAACACAGATGTGGTCTAAACATGAGAAAGTATATTGATCATAGATATTTTCAAGTTGCACGAAATGAATGCTCACCAATGGTTGGAATAAGTGAAAGTGAAACGAATGACATCCGCTACATTCCCACTTGACATTGCTCTACTGCTATGCTCTACTGTTAGAATTATTCTGATTGTACAAGTTTACGACCTTAAGGTGAAGGATATAAGTGGTTTGAACACACTGATAAAATAAGTGGTGTATTAATGCGTTGTGTTAGCTTCAAAATAGTTTTCCTAACAGACATAATCTGAACGCTGTTAATGAGCTCAAATAATTAGTAGAAAATTGAAGCTATTTGAAAACAACAAATGAATGAATAAATTTACTTCAGGAAAGAACATCAAGGCTACGTACTAGCTGAATCTGAAGGCACAGTTTCATTTGCTGGGACGCCTGATGGGGCCTTAGTTTCGTTGATAAAATCCGTAGGATAAGGAGGTTTTTCGGATGTCGAAGGAGTTGCCCATGGCATACTGAACGCTCCAAAGTTGGAAGGTATACTGGGTAACCCACAAGCATCAGATTTGAATTCGATTAAGTTATCATCGAGCGGCACATTGCCGTCACAAATGACATGTGTGTCAGGAGTGAAATCAACATCATAGCTTTTCGCAATTTCAACCTAGTATTATGAACGGAAAGACTGATCAGAAACTTGATAGCACAAAGTTATACAGCAAAATACGATAAAATAAAAAGGATATACGAAAACAATTGTAGATAATCACACTTTATGATAACCACAGTATGATGATTGCTCTTATTTCATAAAGTTTATTACTGTTTTTCTTTTCAGCCGAAAACCCATGACAAATTGAACATCAGCTGACAAAGAGAATTGTGAATTAAAATATCAGTATAAAAAGCTGAGTGAAGCAAGACGTCTCAAGGAACAAACTTTCAGTTGTTAACCTCAAGATAAAAGGGAAAATAAAGCAGGGCAGTTCTTAGAGAATGGAAATCCTGGCCGCTTAGAATTTGCTCAGAGTTACGCTTTTTGATTCATTGAATGAAAATCATATTAAGCAATGGATAAAACATGGTCGGTTCTAAACCTTGAATGAATTGATAACAAAGACAAGATCACTAACCAGAAGGACTCCTTATCCGATAAAATGACATGCCAACATATAAATCATTGTCCTTGCCATAGACTTAAACGATCATTACATTTTTAATTTCACTGATTAAGGATTTTAGAATGTCCCCTACACTTTGTTTCTCATATAGCTATAGTTCTGTTCAAACTTATCCCCAATCTCGTTTAACTCTTCGAATATCTTCAATTGTCGCGACTAAAACATTTTAATTATGTTAATTCACGTTACAATTTATTGACAGTTCATTAATTTCACACCTTTTTGTTTTGCATATATCCTATAAAAGATACACAACCTAGTAATTACTTACACTATATAACCAGATATTATAATATATTAAACAGTGTTTATTAGTTGACTACATCCCCTCAGGGAATTAAGACTAAATTTCATATACATATATGCTATATTATTAAAGACACTATGGACAACCATGCAGATAGTGAAATCTTTCATGTAACTGTTAAGATAAGTGAAGACATGAATATTGTAAGAATAGAGGTATCCATGCCGTCTTCAGGAAATGAAAATGGTTTTTGGTGAACTTGCTGATATCTAGGAAGCTTGACAACTGTTTGAAATTGGGCTTAATAAATCTCCGCAAATTTAAGTTTGTAGAAACTGGATGAATCATAGTTTGGAAACTATGGTTTACCCCTCTGATTGTACTCCAATTACTTTCTGCCTATCCCCAATACTATCACAACTCGTATAGCACACACTCTGAAGTCACCACTTGTATCAGGATTTATGGGTTAATTGTTATCCTCGTCTGAATTTTCTGGAGTAGACCTGTTGCCAGGTGGCTCGCTTATTGACTTAGAATATGCCGATGACATAGTCCTACTTGGTGAAGACGCTGACAAAATGCAGAGTCTTCTGACTACCCTAAGCAACAATGCAAGCATGTTCGGGATGCGGTTTTCACCCTCGAAATGCAAAATGTTGCTTCAAGATTGGGTTGCATCGGCACCTGAACTAGTGATAGGGAGTGAAGCATTTGAGTATATCGACCGTTTAACTTATCGTGGGAGTCTCATCAGTGCTGATGGCCTGGTGATTGACGAAATCTCAGCACGGATATAAAATGCTTTTTGCAACTTTCGTCACCTACGCCGCGGGAGAGATACCCATTTGCTAACCAAAGGACGAGTGTTCTGCGCAGCAGTTCGCTCCGTCTTACTTTATGGCTGTCAAACATGGCCAGTGAGAGTAGAAGATATTGGTAGGTCACTGGTTTTCGATCATAGGTGTCTTCGAAGCATTGCTCGTATATCGTGGGACACCCGAGTGAGCAACACTGTTATTAGGAAACAAGTACTAGGTAAGGATGGCAGATCAATAGATGAAGTGGTGAAACTTCATCAGTTGAGGTGGTTGGGACATGTGTTGCGTATGCCTAACCACTGACTGCCTCGAAGAGCTTTGTTCTGTAGTGTAGGAGTAGGTTGGAAGAAAGTTAGGGGCGGCCAGACCAAAACATGGCATAAATCCATGAAGTCATTGACGAGTGGACTTAGCCATGTCGGTAATTGTAGACTACCTGGTTGGGGTCCGCGAGATGATAATAATCGATGGCTAGAGACCTTGAATGACATGGCTCAAAATCGTTCGCAATGGCGCAGGTGCATTTATTCTTTGTGTTCTCTCAAATCCTGATTTTCTGGGTTCTTCAACACCTCTAGCTTTTACTTTCTAAACTTATCTCATTGAATCATACTTCGTGAATAATGTCTTCTAATTTAACCTCTCCGATTACTTCTAATACCTTTACTACCTCTTCTACTATAAGATTTGAATTGACAATTACAGCTCTGTGCTGACGTGGTATGGCGACATGAACTGATGTACTTACGTACGAAGTTCTACGTTGCAACTGACTGACTGACTGACTTATGGGTTAATTGACTGTCTGGATAGTAAACACTAATTTCAAGCTCAAAATTTGCATATGCCACAATAAATTGTTGCGAAGACTCAGTTTTTAACTAGCCTTAAAAACTTAAATTCGGATCTGCATATGTACTATGCAATAAACAGCCCTAAATCGAAAAAAGGGTAAGAAATTTATTGGAAAGCTTATTACTGTTTCAGCTTGACAATGTAACCAAAATGAACAGTCACTAATTGCTGAGCTGTCTGTATTAGTAAATATGATGTAATGATTGTATTGCTACGAATTTTGGTTACGGTATTCGGTGGACTGTAATTATTGACATTAGGTTAAACAAACGGTTGGGAACATAACTGATGACAGATATGTGGGAATAACAACACTGGAAAGGACAAAATAACGCTATAGTAGAACAGTTTGAGGTTAAATAATTTAAGTTGTTGGAAAAAGTAACTAACCAAATACATTTCAACCAAATTCGCCCCAGGAACGACAGAATTCAATTTTGCCATTACGGTACGGTTGACCATTGTTGTCTTTTCGAGGCATTCACAAATGTACTTCGCACCAAACTTGATGGATAGCTGCTGACAGACAATACTAAGCTCAGGAATGTCACTACTAATGCGTGAAGTGGACCATATGACAGTCGCGATTGGTGTCTCAAGAGATGCATCTGGCAGCCTAAATTATGTATTATCAAGCGATGACTCACTTTGCATCCCTAATTAACCCAAATCGTTCGTTTATCACTTCAAGATACGTCTGTATAATATCCAATGCTTCTACACAGTAGTCATCGCGAATGATTTGTTCAACTTTAATGCGAGCTCTGTCAACCTTCCCATCTTTTATAAGGTCTGCGATTTCTCGACGCAATCTCTTTGAAATTTCAGTTTTCTTCTTTTGCACATATTCAAGCCGTTCAATAGAAAGTTTGATATTCGTCCTTAACTTCGTGTAATTACAAGAACTCGAGAACATCCGACCAGCTAGTCTTCCGCAACCTTCAGACAACTACCTTGCAAGCTTTTGAATCGTTCAAACAAATCTTCGAAATCTTGGCGCGAATAAAGCGATATAACTTTGGTCATGCTCACATCAATTACTTGAAAAAAATTTTCAACCATGAAATTCTTGGCCTTTAAGTATTTAGTTTACTGAAAAGTCATGCGTTTATGTCCTCTTTTCTTTAAGTTCTTTGATAGCTACTAAAGCATATTCTAATATCTAATATAATATCTAATATCTTTTTCACGAGCTAGTCTAAACCAGTTTGATTTCTTCTCTCGATTCTTGTTCTTTCGGTACGGTTCCAGGTGTTCGGTAATGTCCAATGGATGGAGGTCTAGCCACTCGACTGTCTGATTCTAATCAGTTGGCAGTTGGTTGTTAGTTTGTATGTCTCGCGATTTGAATGAAAACGTTTGTTTGAGGGCAGTAGGGCTTCTGGATACTAGTAGCCGTCATATTACCAAACCGGAGATCAGTTGGTTGCAATGTGGAGAGTAATAAGGGTAATAAGGATAAAATTCTTATGATAATATGAATAAAATTTCAGAACTGAGTAATATATAGATGAATTTAGTTTATTAATTGGTAGTGAGGATTGTGAGAGAGGACCGAAGTGTAAGCAAGGGATAGGAAACAGATATAATAGGCGAGATAGATTATCGAGTGATCTGAAGAGATGTCAATGGTAAAAACTAGCAGGTCTCCAGGTATATGCTTCCAAGTATCTAATGATGATCTAACAATGATTGATTGATGATTTCAAACGTGGAAAAAATATTCTTAAAAGTTCCGTAAATTTCTGTTAGCTGCACTGCCTTTCATAACGATGCTTAAATATTCTTCAGCAGGGAGGTTAGCTGGTAGAAAATTTATACGGAACTAGAAGTTAGCACGAAGATTTCATTTGGCTTATATTGTCTCATGAAAGAGATATCAGAATTAGGACCAGGACTTTTATATAAACCAAATTTTCCGGAATTCATCTACTGAAAGAATATTTTTTACTATCCGTATAAGTTTTGGTAAATAACTCACAATCGGAATATTAGGTTAGCACGTCAGTAGGGTTCACCATACATTGACCTGTAAAAAATTTCCGTGTATTCTAAAAGATACAAAATTGGATGCTGGTCGGGATTAATCCCTTTTTAATGTCATCATTAACTTACGGGCACACTGGTATAATTTCATCGTATGATTCCCCAATTGCTGTCAAGTAATATTTCAGTTCAAATTACAAAAAGAAGCACAGATTTTAATCCTCCGCTCCGTGGTCTTAAGTACAGGTCCTAAAAGTAATGCCATAAAAAACTAGATCAGAACTCTGTAGAATAATAATAGCTAAGGAAGCAACCCCACAATCATCCTAAACACACATATGGAAACTCCATTTATAAAACATACGATTCCCTACCCACTATAAACACGGGGGAAATGTCGAGGAGTTGTATATGTAGCGCTATGAGTTATGCTGCTGCCATATCTATTTCACAGTGGTTAAGTCTTGGAATTCCTAGCAGTCACAACAATCCAATAAGCCACCCTAACGTCCTCCAACTCACAATGTGTTGTATTAGTGAGATTCCAGAAATGAATCCTGAATAACTTGAAAACATCAATTTTTCATTTTCTGATTGTTTTATGTGACTAATTTCCTACGTGAGTGCATCATACTTTTATCTGAGTCAAATGTTCGCTAAAATAAAGCGTTTTCTGTCCCGTCCATACCACTTGATTAGTTCTTATTGAAAATATCTTCCAGCTCAGTGAAGGAGGCGGAAACGTTTTTGTTGCAGTCACGAAAGTCTAAGACATGATGATCCTACGGGATCAGCGTAACAGCAGATAAATTTTATTATGTACTTCAAATATCAAGTCAAGAGTTTTCGAACATAACTATCCATGTATTTGCATGACTCTATTGTGGAAATCTAAATAGCTACTAGATTAAATGAAAAAGTGAGTTTATGTCACTGTTTCTATGGTTAACCACTTCATCACAAGATGATATATTCTTCTCCTGATAGCCGTTGAGTTCAGAAGTCTGGAAGACTTAACCGAATTTGATCGGATAAGGTAAAAAACAGAAGAACGTCAGCATAGCAGCACCCAATGTCGAAGTGAATAAATATCGGTGCAATTTATTCCAAAAAGAGAAGCAATCTATGTGTTAGTTATTTTATAACTAATTGTAGTTATGTCATAACTAACCAATCAGATTGGTTAAGCGCTCACCACGTTATCTAGTCTGACCGGTCTATAAACTTTCTTTGTTGTGAATGACCTATCGATTGAAGGATGTTATCATTTTATTTTATATAGATGTGACTCATGTTTTTTATTCATTTTCTAAAGACACGCTACACTGTCCGGTACGTTTGCTCATCCTGCTTGATAATTGTAATTTCCTTATTTATTGTACTAATTTATTTGTCTTTTTTGTTTAGAAACAGATACAGTTTAAACCCAAGTTTATTGTTCTGATTTACTCTTGAATCTGTCATCGGCGGTATTTGCGTTTACGTTTTAGAATTACATCTGTAGGACAAATTAAATCCTACATAGTTTCGACCAGTAGCTCATCAGAAGTTCATATGCTGAGTACCTTCAAATGTCCACGGAGAATCTTAAAACTGGTCAGATTCCTAAATTGTCTCCCTACCGCTCGGAAACTCACAGCGAAGACCAGTTTAGAAGAAATAGCTACCGAATAGATCCTCTGTTAGAGTTAGAATTAGCTAAAGTACGTTTAGCTCATACAGAGAAAGAAATTGAGTCAGAACGCTTCTGTCAAAAAGGAAGAGAATATCGTAATCCAGTTGTGGCCGTTTCAGAGAAGCAATCAAATTTGTTTATTATGGAAAGTAATAGTGAACATGATGAAATTCAAATAAACCTAAATGGAAGAAACCCTCTTCACACTAAATCGACAGATCAGGATTTTTCTAGTTCTCCCTCTAATCATTATGTTTCACACACAGAGGCTTCCGTTGCATCACTCGAAGCATCAAATGAATTAGCTAAGTCACCTACCGTTCTATCAAGTTTTGCTATAGCTAAGAAAGACATTCCATCTGGTTGTGTTCTCGGATCAAATATTTCATCAAGCGTTGTGAATTCTGATGTGCCGAAAGATGCTTCGGTTAATTTATGGACATCATCATCTACAAGTCATGATTCTGCTTCGTGTCCTTTTACTACATTGGCTAAAGTTGTTACAGCTTCTCGGACAGACTGCAAGGATTCGATAAATTTAGAAGATTCTGCTAAGGAAGTAGTTGAAGATAAACGGAAAGAAACGTTAAATTTAGCGGAAGTCGACCTAGTTGCAGGTGAAAGAGAAATGCCAGTTATTCGACAGCATTGCCGAGCTAATAATTCCGATACTAATAAACAGAGGTGTAATAATCTTGGACCTTTTCATTTTCATTTAAATGATATACACAACAACAGTGCTGAAAAGAATAACGAATCTCTCTGCAGGTCACGGATAGTAGTACGTTTAGTGTAAAAAGGCAGACTCTTGATTATTACTCTCAGTTGGTTACAAATGCCTGCTGCTCTAGTTGACTCACGAACTTTGAGAATGGGTGAAATTAATGAGGTGAGTAGTTATGTAATGTCTGCATGGCGCAACGACTTCCAATATCTTGCTGAGGTTCTAACCCATCGTCAGCGACATGGTACAAGAGCAGAGTATCGCTTACGTTATATTTGGGATCGCGTTGTAGAATGGACACTCGTCAGCAAGTTACGCAAAGCAACTCAGTACGAAATCGATTATGTCTTAAAATTCTGCAAAGAGCAAGGTACACTATCCGCAAATAAAATCCCTAGTAAATTTGATCTGCAGTAATAATATAAAAGGGAGAATTTTGCATTTCATGGAAATGTTTGAAAATTGGTGGTCCTCCTTATTTCCAGCGATAACTATTCATGTAGTAGTAGCAATGATTCTGCATCGGGAACATCTCAAGCTAAAAGAATAAGGACAAATTTGTCAAAGAGCAAGTCATTAGACCGTACTTCGGATCCTGAAACACATCGCTATCGGTCACGTCCTACTCGTGTAAGTACAAGTGGTTTCTCTGTCTTAGAAGACAAAAAGACTCTTCTTCCAACATTATTTGATGGAATCATCGAACAGGATGGGATGGTTTGTGATAAGAGTGTTTTCCAGTTTCACGAAGACGGCGTGAATTGAAAAGAAAAGCTATCGAAGAGAACGACACATGTCCACATGGATTTGACAGTTCTGTATCTGTTTTGAGTCAAACATTCACCATCAGGTCAAACTGTAGAATCCTTTTTGAATGTTTTGTTTTTTGGAAAATCCCTCCATGTTTACATATTTTTGCTATGACATGACGGACTTTTTCTGTTGACATTTTTGGTATTTTATTTGATTCCAATTTGAGATTTTATCATTGTATATTGTTATTCTTTCTATATTTTGTACTTATATTGAAGTTTTTGTGTTTGCTTCTGAACTGTACATATGTTGTTTAAATTTGATATAATATGGCTACCGCCACATTTTTGGACTGATGCAGTGGCTGCTGGACTTAGCGTCACTTATTTGTTACTGTGTCTGATACTCTGCGGAGTAACTGAACCCTGGAAGAAGCACTATTTCCAGGTAATGCTTTGTATTTCCATTTTTTAATTAATACAGACGCTTTCTCCTAGAATTTTGTCCTTTTTGAATTGGTTAGGACCCGAAACTGGGAAAAGCGTACAGGAGTGCCTCTATTGAAACCCATTGGATCGGCCACTGTAGAAATACATTTACAGTCTGGAAATAATTCTATAAACGATTATATTTTGGAATTACCTATTACCCTTTGATAAATCGAGCAATTACCGTTGGATTATTAAGAATTATAAAGAAACATTTGGAATTTTAATCGTTTATCACACTAGACTTTCTTGAAGCAAGAAATTTGGATTATTTATCATATTCCGGAACTGAACTGTGGAAATACTATATTTTGTATTTGTTACCTTTCTTATTGAACTTCATTTATAATGTCAAGCAGAAAGAAATCAAACATGA